AACCGGAGACCTGTGCGTCAACGGGTTGATATGGAAGTTTAACCCTTTCGAATAATCGCTCTGATAAAAAGCTCGCTTCTGACCCTGTGTTGATTAGTGCCTGAGCTGTATATTTTGTGCCCAAATGACACACTTTGATGACAGCCGCTCCGAGGAGAACACCATGTTAGTTTGCGGAAAAGTAGTTTTGAACGGTAGCTTTGGTGGAACTAGAAGTAGACTGTATAGACGAAGGGGAGCTCAAAACTACTGGTATTGCAGAAACGGAGGGCACCTGGGGTCTCTCACGGTGGAGCAGCAAGTTGTGACGTCCCTTGCACGTGAAACAACAATGCCCACTTGTGCAATCCCTTATCTGGTGCTGTCTGACGAAGCAGTTTAAGCACAACTTTTGTTGTTTGATGACAGAAAGTCTCTCGGGTACGGACATTTGTAAAAAAGTGGGCATAGACGCAACGGATGGTTTTCCTTCTGACACAATTCGCAGTGTTGTGTCTTTGTAGTCACTGTTTCCTCGAAGGTTTTGCAGGTATTTTATTACTATTTATTTGTGGGCTTGGACTAAAATGGCATATGTGCGGTAGGTCCGTACATCCGCTATCGCCTCCAAGGTTCGATATCGGTCGATCAGAATTAATTCATCTCGGACCATTGAGGTATCTCTACCTTATTGTGGAGCGATTGTTCCCATAGTGCCAGCAATTTATAGGAGCACAAGAAAATGAGTAGACAATTCCCAATTTTCGGTGCTCACCCTGGACAAGTCAAGAGCCTTTAAGGGCGGCTCTAGACTTTTGTGCTGATGAGGGAAGATAAAAAATAATTTTTAATTGACTATTGACTAATAGTCGCTTGTTCTCAAATCTCGCCGTCAGGCTTGCCCACGCTGACTGAAAGTCATCATTCTTGAACGGGGACTTTGAGACAATAGCCCTAGCTCCGCCGCTAGTTTTGGTCAGTCAGTCTTGGGTTGTTTATTTAGTCGGCTGTAAACAAGTCTCGGAAAGTAGGCGACCGTAGGTAATCCCCACTGAAAACTTCAGTGTCGCATGGCGGGAGACTGCAACCCCTGGACAATGTGTAGTTGAAGGAGTGTTGATTAGCTTGTCTATTTAAGGTATGGGCTTTTTCTATTTTCTCACTTAGTCGAGCCGCACATCGCCCGTAAACCGAGTACGAGTAATCAAATCTGGGTTGCATAGTCACAAGGTCACTGCTGCTGCAAGCGCTTATGTTGAGAGCTTTACAACGTAAATCGTACTCGCGTTCCACCTCTTTCCATAAAGTCTTAATCTTATCTCATCGGACTTGGAGAGTGAACAGTGACACGTCACTACCCGCTGCTTCATTGATCTTTACTTCAAACGGGCCTAGTCGGTCAGTTATTGAACTCATTCATTCTGCATCTTTAGTGTAGTCGAACAGGTAATTTTTGGAGTAATATCTCTTGTTGGATTGGGATTCACAGGCTTGCGGACGGTTGTGCTAGTTTCCCAAAAACCGCTCTAAGTGTTAAACCGCTCGGTTTGGTTCTTTATCGGACGCTGCTGTGAGTCGTTTTTGGAAGTTTTGATCACCACTGATTGGCATACTAGGCTCATCACCGAACCAAAAATTGTAGTAAACCGGGTGGGATGTGATCAAATCCAAATAAATTAAATCAGCGAGCGAAAACGGAATAAAAAATGGCACAGAAACGATGGAATCGAGATATCAGAATAGATGGAATGACTAAATTGGTGTGTACTATTGCATCCAACGAAAGCGGATAATTTTATTAAATTAATAATTTGCGAACATGAATTAATGAAATTAATTTATTGAATCACCAAAGAAAAAGATAAATTTTCTTTTGACAGCGCGCTGTGTGGGTGGAAACTGATCGAGCAAAAAGAGGAAAAACGAGAAAGACAGGCTATCTTCGGCACGCCGAAGGTCTAATACCCTTGCAGACCCAACCTTTTCACGGTGCTTTGCCCGTAATTAAGAAGCATAGGGAAAATAGTTAATCCCAAGCTTGGGCAAGATATCTTCAGACCCAACCTTTTCACGGTGCTTTGCCCGTAATTAAGAAGCATAGGGAAAATAGTTAATCCCAAGCTTGGGCAAGATATCTTGATAAACAAAAAAGGTTTTTAATCAAAAAGCTATTTTCGACTGATCGTTCCTATGGCAGATATATGATATAGTAATCCGATATAAATAAGATTTTGCAAAGATGAAGGGAGCATAGTGAAATCTTTAAACGCCGTGTTTAATCAAAATATTTTAAATGACAAAAAAGTTTTCCATACAACAAATTAATTTTCAACCGATCGTTCCTATGGCAGCTGTATGATATAGTGGTCCGATCTTAATATGATTTTGCTTATATATGAGGAGTATAGTAAAACTTATAAATACCAAGCTTGGCCAATATATCTTGCAAGTCAAAATGATTTTTATCATACAACAACTTAATTTTCGCCCGATCGTTCCTATGGCAGCTATGATATTGTGGTCCGATCTTAATATGATTTTGCGTTTATATGAGGAGTTAAAGTAAAACTAATTAATTCCGACTTTGGTGAAGTTATCTTGAAAAACAAAATGTTTTTTCATACAACAATTAAATTTTCTACCGATCGTTCCTATGGCAGCTATATGATATAGTGGTCCGATCGTAATATTATTTTGCGTGTATATGAGGGGTAAAGTAAAACTAATACATGTCGAGTTTGGTCAAGATATCTTGAAAGCAATATGTTTTTTCATACAACTTAGTTTTAGAACGATCTTTTCTATGGCAGATATATTATATTGTAGTCCGATCCAGCTGGTTTGACATTTAGAAAGAGAAAAATGACTCCTGAAAAGTTTCATTAAGGTAGCTTTAAAATGGAGAGTCAAGTTCGCATAGAAACAGACAGACGGACAGACGGATATGGCTATATCGACACGGCTGTTAATGCTGATCAAGAATAATATATATACTTTATGGGGTCGGAGATGCTGCCTTCTACCTGTTACATACATTTGGATTTTGCACAAATATAGTATACCCTTATACCCATTTTTACTGGGTTCAGGGTATATAATATGTTCAGACATATAATACTTGCTGGGGCAAACTGGATATAAATAGCCAAAAATTGTAAAATTCCGATTCGAAGGATCAAATGTTGTGGTATGGCGTCCGCAGGGCAGTTAAACTTTTATTGAATTGTCGAATCCTTGGGGGAGCGTTTATGCTCTGCTCAAAATTTTTTCCGTTGGGTTAAGAAAAAAACACGTTTGTCCACTCTTTAGGTTATTTGTCGTCTGTATTTCTGATTTTACGTTACAGTGCTTTAGTGTAAGTGTAACCGTGAGTGGTTTTTGTTTTTGTTCTGGTTCCGTAGTCAGAACCAACTTTTTTGAAGTAGCGACGGCTAGGTACCCTTCTTGTGTGAACACCTCTCAATAAAGAGATTTGCATATCCCTTTCAATATACACATATATTGCAGAGCATAATACAATTTTCGATTTACGTTTTTAGACTTATTTCGAAACTATGGTGATAAGTTGTGATGGTATTAGCTCCAATTTAGAACATAATAATTTCAGAACTTTGTTACGGTTTTTCCCGGACGAAACACACATTAATCTAAACATAGGAAGAGAGTTTTCCCATATGAATACGTTACTTAATTTAAATGTTGCAAGAAACTGCTCACCCACCAAGGGAAAAAATTTTCTACAGTCTTGCAAAGAGAGAATTTAGAAGATAATTATTTACACGTTCAGTGTGAAGAGTTTAAATTGTAAAATCTTCAAATATTAGATGAGGTTGTATTTAAGGACAGATGTACTTTTGATTTGAGATGTTTTTCGAAAATTTGTGTTTAATTTGCAAGAATATCTATTCATTGGACCGAGGCCAATATTACACAGCTCCAGGGTTGCCTTGGAATGCTATGCTGAAAACAACTGGAATAGAATTAGAATTATTACAGACATAGATATGCTTAAATTTATACAAAACGGTATTCGTTGGGGATAAGTACAATATTGTCAGCGATATTTAATCATAATATTTTATGTATTTCGATTCAAATAATCTTTATGGGTGGGCGATGTCACAACATAGCCCATTTGGTGATTTCCAGTGGTTGAGTGAGAATGAAATACGGTCATTTAATTTATTTTCAATTTCAACTGCAGAGTGTACAGTTAAAAAGCTTATCACTGACCTAAGACCCAAATATAAATATCCATACATTATAGATATCTTCAACAATGTATTTACAATGGATTGCGGTTAACTAAGATTTACCGTATGTTACGGTTTAAGCAGTCTCCTTGGTTAAGAAAATATATTGATATTAATACATATCGTACAACGCAGGCGAAAAATAATTTCGAAAACTTTATTTTAAGCTATTATATAATGCAGTATTTGGGAAAACCATGAAAAACATTGACTAACGGAAAATCATTAAATTGGTAACTGCATGGGGAACAACGTCTTGCAATAGATTGGGAGGAAGCGGCATTAATCGCAAATCAAACTGTCAAAGCGCAGTGTAATTCTCGAATAAAATGTATGCAATCCAAATAAAAAGGCATAACTATTGTGTAGTTGCAAGCTTTTTTGCAACCAATTAATTCTAACTGCTTGTGCAGCGAAATTCAAACACTTAGATTAGTTTTCAAATGGATTTATTTGCCGCGCAGGGCACTTATTAGAATTTATAAGTTTTAAATTGTTGCTTGGCAGCCAACTCGAATTAGTTGTGCCTAGGTTGCGATCAAAACGAAAGACTGACTGGTTATGACAATATGTAAAGCGAATCGAAACGAAACTCCAATAAGCTCGCCGGTTAGAGCGAAGGGCAGCAATGCAAGCAAAGCAATTCAGAAGGAGAGTGGACAGCAGCTTACAAAGAGCGCGCAAAAAACTATTTGCTCTTAGGCTGTAATTATGATTGTTATTTTCTGTTGGATGATGTCCGCAGCCGTCGGTGTTATCTCTGCTGTTACTTGACCAAACATTCTCCCCCCGTTGGAAGGCAAGGGCTTTCAACATCATCCTGTTTGGGCAGCAAACACAGCTTTCGTACAGCTCTACGTATGACTCCAGTCGCAGTTTGAAGCACAGCAACTCTGGATACCCCATCAGATCCAGAGATCAGCTCTTGCACTCTGGCGAGTGGCCACTTCAGCGGCGGTAGATTCTCATCCTTTACAAGGACAACATCGTTAATGGAGAGTCCAGGCTGAGGAGTGCGCCCATTTGGAGCGCTGTTGAAGAAGCGTCAAATACTCTTCGCGCCAACGGGCCCAGAATACTTGTTGGAGATATGTGACGCGCTGAAAATGATTAAGCCGATTGAAGTTAAGCTGCCTTAGATCGGGCTCAATGTATGATGAAGATGGCGCTGTACCCAGGAAGTGTGCGGGTGTCAAGACGTCAAGATCACCTGGATGCTCTGAAAGTGGAAGTAATGGTCGAGAATTAATAATTGCCGTGATGTGGCAGACGAGCGTACGCAGCGAATCGAAATCCAAAATGGAAGAGCAAACAGATCGATAAAAGTGGTGCTTAGCAGTCTTCACAGCGGCTTCCCATAGTCCACCAAAGTGCGGAGAGCGAGGAGGGATGAACAACCATTCAATTGATTCGGTTAGGCAAAACTCGTTAACGGCCTTGACATGCTCGTCTCTCAGGAACAGGCGGTTCAGATCTGCTAGTTCGTTCTTGGCACCTACGAAGTTTGTCGCATTGTCAGACCAGATCCTTGAAGGTCGAGAGCGAGTCAGGATGAAACGTTTTAGGGCGTTTAGAAACGATGTTGTGGACAAGTCCTTTACAAGCTCTAAGTGCACCGCCTTTGTAGCGAAGCATATGAACAGACTGATATAGCATTTCACTGGTGGCCTGTTGCGCACTTCGTTCTTGTAGTAAAATGGTCCACAGTAATCAACGCCAGTGACCATAAAGGGATACGATGTATTAAGACGATCAGCTGGTAGGTCTGCCATTATATGCTCGGCCAATCGTGGCTTGGCACGAAAACAGATTATGCATTTGGCAACAATACGGAGACTGTTTTTCGACGCCAATGGGCCAGTACTGGAGCCGAATCGAAGACAATAAAGCGCGAGGTCCAGCGTGTAAGTTTCGTTTATGAAAGTAAACTATGATTGCTCGCGTCACAGGATGCTGACGGGGCAATATAATCGGATGTCGCTGAGAAGTCCAACGACGAGTTTTTCAGCCGTCCACCGATGCGAAGTAGGCCGAAGTCGTCAAGGAATGGTGCAAGAGAGGCCATTGAGCTAGACGGTTTGACATGCCTTCCTTCCTTCAATGCCTTGTAGTCATCGCTGAGAGTAGCCATTTGCACTGACCGCAGCAACCAATGTGTGCCATGATGCAAGTGGTCAACGGTTAGTTCAGCTCCTCGGATTCGATTACAAATTTGTAAACATAAGCAAAGACCCGCTGCAGCTTGGAAAACGAATTGATGAACTTGCAACCAATCGAGATCCGGTTGCGCTGCAGTTCCGGGAGTACCTTGTGTCGAAGTTCTGGTAAGGATTCGACAGGTACACAGGGGCAGGCCACTCTTCCTTTCCCTTACTGAGAAAACTCGGACCATGGGCCCATAATGGAGACCGGAAGAGCTCACTAGGCAGCGCTCCTCGTGAAATTATATCCGCCGGGTTTAATTCGGTGGGAATATGATGCCATTCCATTCCAGTGGTGAGCTCTTGGATGGCTGCGACTCGGTTGGCAACGAAAACATTGAATTTCGAAGCATCATTGCGAATCCAAGCCAAAGTCACGGCAGAGTCTGACCAACAGTAATACCGACAGTCGAACACTTTCATTTGGCATATTCGCTGAGAAGTTGAGCCAGTAATGCAGCTCCGCAGAGTTCCAGCTTTGGTACCGTGATGGTTTTCACAGGCGCGACACGCGATTTGGAGCATAAGAGACGCACGCTGGTGTTGCCATTGCACTTTGAGACTGTATAGACGCATGCTCCATAAGCGCTTAGGCTGGCATCACAAAATCCGTGAATCTCCACTGTACTGTCTGATGAGAGTGCTCGACGGGGATACTGGAATTGCTGAGTATACTCAAAATCAGCGCAGAAGTTGACCCAGGCTGTGCTTAAGTGTACAGGCAGGCTCTCATCCCAGTCCAGCTTTTCTCTCCAGAGATCCTGCATAAAAATTTTCGATTTTGTTATTACGGGACCAACAAGACCAAGGGGGTCGTAAAAGCGAGCAATTGCGGAGGAGTATTGACCGTTTTGTCAGTCTGGAGGGCAACCTCAGTGGAGAGAAGGAGAAAAGGAAACAGTCTGAAGCGGGATCCCAAACGAGGCCTAACGTTTTCGTGATGTCACTGCCATCGTCAAACT